CGTTCCCTGTCTCCCGCACCCGTCAATGCACAATTCATTTGTTTACACCGAGGAGAACATACTGGTGAAAGCAGCGGCTAAGTCATGGTGGGAGTGAAGGTCTTGGTGGGAGGGTCATGCTTATATTCCTATAAGCATGAAATGATATGTGTAAACCTGTCTTTGAAAATGTAAGAAGCCCTTGCGAAACGCTATTAGGCGTCAGACCATAAATAAAAAAAGGAGAAAATGAACTTTGGAGAGTTAATATTTCAATTACCCCCGACAGTGAAGAAAAACGTAAGAAATATTGAGAAGATATATATATATATATATATATATATATATATATATATATATATATATATATATATATATATATATATATATATATATATATATATATATATATATATATGACAAATTTACGCTTGAAACAATCCATCGGTCCCACTTCTATTATGTAACCCGGTAATTTGTTCCATACAGCAACCACTCTATTTCCCAACTAGTATTTAGCGAGCCCTTAATATTTTTAAACATTCACGTGTTGGTTCCTGAACGCATGAACATTTACACATAATTCCTCCTTCACGTCTGGAGTTTAGTGAATAATTATGCTTGCAATGAGGATGTGTTACCTGCAGGTGTTTTCCATGGTGTGAAGTCCACCGAGGAACACCAGGTCTAGGAGGCAGCAGAAAAGGAAAACGACTCCCCAAAAGGCATTAGATTGGGCTCAGGGGCATCCACTTCCACTCAGGGGCATCCACTACCACTCAGGGGCATCCACTACCACTCAGGGGCATCCACTACCACTCAGGGGCATCCACTACCACTCAGGGGCATCCACTACCACTCAGGGGCATCCACTACCACTCAGGGGCATCCACTACCACTCAGGGGCATCCACTACCACTCAGGGGCATCCACTACCACTCAGGGGCATCCACTACCACTCAGGGGCATCCACTACCACTCAGGGGCATCCACTACCACTCAGGGGCATCCACTTCCACTCAGGGGCATCCACTACCACTCAGGGGCATCCACTACCACTCTTGCGAGCTCTATTCCCTGGAAATGTGCCAAAGTTTGGTGTTATTTGGCACCGTAAGGAAAGAAAAACTCATTGTTTGGAATGGAAATGCCTCGTTAAAGCATTACAGGCCAGAGGAAACTTGGCAAATATGCTAATGACTTCTCCTTAAAAAGTACAAAAGGAAAAGCAGTGGGTGCGAACAGTAAACACAGCGTAGCCAACATCAGCACGCTAATGTTGTCAGAGGCAACACATACCGATGATCCCAGGACCACAGTGTGCTGCTGTGAAGATTGATTGATGAAGATTAAGCCACCCAAAAGGTGGCACGGGCATGAATAGCCCGTAATGCTGCTGTGAACCCCTCACACTCAAGGTGCGGTGGGAAGGTGAGGTGTGCACATGTGTGTTGCGAAGGTGTAGTTTTTTAGGGCACAATAAACACAACAGATCTAAAGTCAAATTCCAGGGAAAAACATCGACCTCAAAGAGGCTGGAAAATGGAACTCCGCAGGGAGGAATACTAAGCCCCTTCCTCTTCAACTGTCTCTATGGAACAATTCATTAGTTCAAGCTAAAAAAAGCCAAACTGCTTAACTATGCAGACGACTTTGTGGTCATCATCAATGGCAAAGGCGCATGGAATCATGCACAAAAATGCCTAGATATTATCAGCATGGAAGCGGAACGCAGTGAAAATAAACAGCAATAAAACCAAAGCAATGGCCGTTAAAATGAGAACTCAAGACATCAGACTGGCAATACAAGGACATGGGATCAAACGAAGGATAGCTCCCATAACAGCAGAACTTGTTGGAACCACCGCCAGACTGTCAATCAAAGACCGCATACAGTGATCGCTTCAGAAAAACCTTCAATATAGAACAAGTACATGGATGGATAATCTGGTCTAGATTCTAGAGAAAGTGGACTTGAAATGGACCATTAAAAACAATGGGGAAGATAGACCATATGAACACTTTTGGCAGCCTCCTCCATGGAAAAGAGTCGAGTCTAAAGATAATCATTGAATGATTACCAGTTAAAAAATCAGCATGTGACTCACAGAGGCTCAAAGTAGTCATAGAGCAACAAATGGAAACCATCTCAAGACCTACAACGACTCACATCTTCACAGACGGATCAGTTGATCAAGAAAGAGGTTCTGCTGAGGCAGCAGTTTACACTACCATCCATAAAGCTTACTGGAGCATTTATAGTGGGTGCTCAACATTACAAACAGAATTATATGCCCTGAAGGAGGCCGACAATTGAGAATAATTTACATGATGTCATCATTCATACCGACTCTAAATCTTCGCTCCAGGCATTGTTATCCAGTCAGCACAGAGATAATTTTCGATTCACAGAAATCCAACATATAGGAAAAGAGACCCATAATCTAGGGCTGTCAATCACCCTAAATTGGATACGAAGTCACATTGGCATAGATGGTAATGAAAAGGCAGACTCACTAGCAAAAACTGCCACTGCTCTACCTGTTGTACAGGTTCAAATACCTCCAAGTTTTTCACAGATTAAAGAGCAAATAAAGAAGAAAATACTCTCAACTATCAAAAGTCGCCACAGAGCCAAAGTAGCGGAAGGAAGATCCACTGCGATATGGTACGAACAAGCCACTAGTTACTCCTCTTTCAAGCCTGGCAAAAAGATATCCAGAGACATTACAGTAGCCATACACAGACTCAGACTTGGTTACCAATGCTGCTGAGAGGTAATGAACACAATAGTTAAAAGGTGTCATATCTCTGGAACAGAAGCAGAGGCGCCACTATTGCACTACTTATTGGAATGTGAAGCTACTGAACCCCTGCGCATCAAACTCAACATTAATCCAACGACGCCAGCTACATTAGATGCACATTCCACCGCGACTACAATGATTAGAAAAGCCATTGAGGAATGGGACTCACTAGTGAGCATTTTGCATCTACATCCGCCACCAAGATAATGTTATTAAAACAAGACTAAAACCAGTGCACTAAAACAGAAGCGAAAAATAAACTGGAAAAACGGAGGAATCCCCACCTCTATTTGAAACTTTGACCCAAATATCACAGTAACAAGGTTATCGCGAATAACCGAACTCAATTACGGGCTCACCATAGCCCGTGCTACATGAACACTTCGTTCTGAGTAGCTAAATCTAAAACAACAACAACGTGTAAGTTTCATTGCAGATGGCATCCGAAATGACTACCAGAACGGAACCTACCCACATCGCCAACTTGGACCTGTCAGGTAACGTGAAACACGACATGAAGGAACTGCAAGATTCTCTTTGGAGCGAAGGCAAGAAGCTCGACCAGACCCACACACAGCCTCGCTCCTGTGCCAGGTAAGTCCACTACGGGCTCACCATAGCCCGTGCTACTTGGAACTTGTTCCGAGTAGCTGAATCTATAACAATAACAACAACAACAAGCTCGACCATGTTGCAGCCGACCCAGACTGATGAGAGAGTGTTAGGAGAATTGGTCAGTGGGAGTTTACAAAGTCATTAAAAGTTCAACAGATTATGTTATCCAAACTAAGCTGCTTGTTTATTAGCTTGTGAAAGAAACTATGTTAGGTTCTTGGATTTTAATATATTTGTTACGAACCCAACGACACTGTTGACGTATGGAGGAGCGACTTCAGCGCCATCTGTGAGTCTGCTCTCAAACCCCCATGGAATTGGACTCTACCTGGACAACGCCATCTATTGGAGGTGGCGTAGTAGGTGTAATTGGCTCAAGATTCCTGCCTTGAGAAACCAGTGAGGTGGTAGTGAGTGACCTCTGGTGATAAGGCAATTCAAGACCAGCGCCATCTGTAGTTACTACGAGCATAAATGTCAATGTCCAAAAGAGTAAGTGTTGCTTCCTAATGTCTCCCGTACCTTAGAACTGATGACGTGTCTGTATCCACAGAGGTGCCGTGGGGCAGCAGTGGTACTGTGGATGAAAGTCTACCTTGAGCAGCCTGAACTCGCCCAACTTAGTCCCGTCTGACAACTAAGTGAGCCGCCGCCGATCAGAAGTGTTGTTAATACTAGTGGAGTAGTGGTGGAAGAGTTCGTCATATCCCGGGACTGGCGAAGGGGAGAGACGACAGAGAGTAAAGTGCCTGTTGAGGAGCGTTGCTATCCCGTTGCTATTCTGTTGCTAGACCGTTGCTAGAGGCTTCTGCCAGGGGTGCGACACCTCTGTAGTTGTCCGTGAAGTGGGGCCCTAATCAGCGCGTGGCTGAGGTTCTCTGCCAGCGCTTGGCTGCAGAGTGGTTGTTGGGTAGAGAGGCACTTCGTGATAATGTTGGTAGGCTCGCGGGTATTTCCTGGTACTGTGGCTAGTAAGGTCGGAAGCGGAGCCCGAACATTAACGAAGGCTACATTATATTCGCGTCATGAGTGCTCGGTCTCCTATATGAGAGCGGCACCTATATATATTTCCAAATAGAGTAATAATTCCGTTTGTTTATTTATGGTGATGGGAATATATTGTGTGCTTAGCTCTGCTTCAATGGGGGGGGCCCCCCCCCCCCCCCCCCCAATCCACCTTTTTAGGTTTATTACACTACCTAATACTCTTTGAAGGCCAGTACCGACTTGGGGTCGGATACTATCATTTTGCCTCCACCATCAAAGAACCCGGTTGCGACCCATAGTGGCCTTAACATTACTGATAATAAAACTAAAGTGATTTATCTGCGATAAACTATAGAGGGACTACAATGGGATTTAACTCGTCCCTTGACACGTACTACCAGTTGAACTATGAGTAAAGAAATCTCAATAGTTACTTGAAGTTTGGAAGGTGCCAACATTAGCGACAGTATACATGTATCGGTAAAACTTTTAAAGATTAAAAATTTCCTGTATTTGCGTATATACATAGCAGGTTAAATATTAAAATTTTTATTTGTAATTTCACAGATGGAACGAGGTAGACAAGCTTTTTGACAGACGAGGCTGTTGCGTTCATCATTCGTCAATTGATTGAAGCGTTTATGGTAAGTACAACAACCTCGTACCTACTAAATTGATCAATAAAGGCAAACTAATCCTCCATAAATGAGGAAAGGTGTAAAATTTTCATAAAAAATATTAGATTAATCCTCGTCCCTTTCGTAGCACTTAATGTCTACCACAATCGGTCAAAAATTTAACTTCACAGGTTCTTGTTTCCCGTAACTGCAAGTTTCCTATTCCTTTGGGTCTTTCTCTTCCCCTCTAAGCACAATCTTGTATAGTATTGTTCCTGAGCCGTTATAATTTACAGTACTGTTATTTGTCCGTTAAAAGTTCTGAAGTCACTTTTTGAGAGGACGGGCCGATACCGCAATTAAACTATAAAACCTGGAAAAATATATTTGTTTAAATTGATAACGGCTGATTCTCATATGATTTTATCAGTGTATAAATTTCTTGAGGCGCCCTGTATTTACAAATTTTAAGGTTAATCTAAAGTGTGTATTTCGAACTTCAGCATCAATAGAAAAAACTAAATTCATAATAATATTGAAATACAGGTATTAAAAAATGGCACGCAATATATATTCTCTTGATAGCGTTTCTTATAAATATGCCTTCAATGAACTCCAAGTATTTAAAGCAGTGGAAAGTAGATAAATATTATTCAACTTGAATTTAGAAAAGACGATGTTGAAGGTATCGGAAGACAAACATTAAATATAATTAAGGCAAGGCTATAAGATAGAAATCGGTCCTCGGAAAGTTCATAATGCTAAAGATTTTCATCCAAAGCATCTAAAGATTTTCTCGCTTTCCAACACTGAGATACATTAAAAAGTCTAGATCCAAAGACAGATAATGGTCAGACAAACGCAAAGCTTAACTCGAACTAGTCTTTCAGATTCGCAAACTCTCCAACTTCATCTGTTTCTTAAGAGTTTAAAATAGGTACGATTTTAGCAAGGTGTCCCAGCGCCTTCTTTCCCAGGAAACTTTCTGGACTCTATATCTCGAGACTTCGCACTTCAGTAGTTTAATATCACATAGCGGAGCGTTCGACATCTCCCAGGAGGCCAATAACGCATCTTTCAGCTCCTCGATCATTCTTAGAGGTCGCTTGGGTGAAAGTGTAGTTTTATGCAATGTTTTTGTTTGCCTTTCCCACCACTGCCATCATGCCTGGCTCACCATCAACTTCTTGTCCACCTCTCACCACCTCATCACCATCTTGGCCACCTCTCAACACCATCTTGTCGTAATAATAAAAACATTCAATAGGAACATAATTAAATGTGCTTTAATACACATTACAAAATCATGTAATTTGAATATTAACAGTGCCCTGCTATGCGAACTTCATAGTTTCTTTTTGTTTGTAATCGTGTAATTTTAATATTAACAGTACGAATATTTTCTATATTCATCCACGTTTCGGTAAGTGCAATAATATCTATTTTTTCTGTGCAGACAAGAGCATTTAATTCGTTAATTTTATTTCTTAGACTTCTACTGTTAGTGTAATATACCCTAAGTGAATTGTTATTTTGCGGACCTTCTCTTTCCCTGGTCGTTTTGCCAATTCCTTTCTCCCACAAACACATACTTTTATTACCTCCTTCCTCCAAATCAATTCCCATACCTCTATCTACTAACAGTTTAAACCCAAACAAACACCTCTAACCACTTCTTCTAACGAGTTTGCACCCCATCACGAGCATACATTTCATTTCTTCCATAGAAGTGTTCCCAGTTGTCTACATATTGAATTCCGTTTAACACAACCTCTCACTGTGAATTCACCTGACCGACGATGAATTCACCTGACCGACGAATTCACCAATAACGCATCTTTCAGCTCCTCGATCATTCTTAGAGGTCGCTTGGGTGGTGTTGTTTTATGCAATGTTTTTGTTTGCCTTTCCCACCACTGCCATCATGCCTGGCTCACCAACTTCTTGTCCACCTCTCACCACCATCACCATCTTGGCCACCTCTCAACACCAGTGGTTTGTATAATTTAGATCCATTTGGTTTGTATAATTTAGATCCATTTGTGATCAGTTAGAGGGCGATTTGAGTATGATCACTTACACATTTACAGCAAGAACCCCTTATTGATATCCCGTTAAAGACATCGTAACTCGCCTCTTTCCTGACTATTGCGGGGGTTGGCGTGATTTACCACGCCCAGTGACGTACTCCAGCGTTGCAAGAACAGGTCGCAGGTCTCCAGCGAAGCAGTGTTCAACAGACGCGAGTGACACAGCAAGACTTGGGGCATCAGTTGAGGTAGAGAGCTGGTGAAGAGTAATGATCTGGCACCTGCCTTCGACCACCTGCCACTTTCTTCTCTTTTCTCCTTTGTCTTGCAAACAATCAATCACCTTGTCAGACGTCACGCCATCCCCCCCCCCACTCCCTCCCTCCAATATTACTACCGCTCACAATCCTCCTCCTGCAGTTGTTTGTTGTTGCAGCTGCTGGTACTGCTGCAGCTGCTGTTATTGCTGCAGCTGCTCACGTCACTGACGCTGCTGGTGTTGCTGAAGAACCACACCTGGTGTGGTTCTCAAGCTATATCTTGCTCTAGTTGGGCCCCATTTAGATTATGCAGTTCAGTTTTGGTCGCCGTATTATAGAATGGATATAAATTCACTTGAGCGTGTCCAACGTAGGATGACAGTTAATTCCCCAAATTAGAAATTTTTCATATGAAGAAAGATTAATAAAGCTTAAATTGCATTCACTGGAAAGACGGAGAGTTAGGGATGACATGATAGAGGTTTACAAGTGGATGAATGGACATAACAGGGGGGATATTAATAGGGTATTAAAAACATCAACACAAGACAGAACACGAAATAATGGGTATAAATTGGATAAGTTTAGATTTAGGAAAGACTTGGGTAAATACTGGTTCAGTAACAGGGTTGTTGATTTGTGGAACCAATTACCCCGTGGAGGTGGGGTCCCTAGATTGTTTCAAGCGTGGGTTGGACAAGTATATGAGTGGGATTGGGTGGTTATAAATAGGAGCTGCCTCGTATGGGCCACTAGGCCTTCTGCAGTTGCCTTTGTTCTTACGTTCTTATTAAGCGTTACGTGCTGGAGGTGGGGTCCCTAGATTGTTTCAAGCTACACATGTTTATGAGTGGGATTACATAAGAACAAAGGCAACTGCAGAAGGCCTATTGGCCCATACGAGGCAGCTCCTATTTATAACCACCCAATCCCACTCGTATACTTGTCCAACCCGCGCTTGAAACAATCGAGGGACCCCACCTCCAGCACGTTACGCGGTAATTGGTTCCACAAATCAACAACCCTGTTACTGAACCAGTATTTACCCAAGTCTTTCCTAAATCTAAACTTATCCAATTTATACCCATTATTTCGTGTTCTGTCTTGTGTTGATATTTTTAATACCCTATTAATATCCCCCCTGTTATGTCCATTCATCCAATTGTAAACCTCTATCATGTCATCCCTAACTCTCCGTCTTTCCAGTGAATGCAATTTAAGCTTTGTTAATCTTTCTTCATATGAAAGATTTCTAATTTGGGGAATTAACTTAGTCATCCTACGCTGGACACGTTCAAGTGAATTTATATCCATTCTATAATATGGCGACCAAAACTGAACTGCATAATCTAAATGGGGCCTAACTAGAGCAAGATATAGCTTGAGAACCACACCAGGTGTCTTGTTACTAACGCTGCGATTAATAAATCAAAGTGTCCGATTTGCCTTATTACGAACATTCATGCATTGATCCTTTTGTTTTAAATTCTTACTAATCATAACTCCCAGATCCCTTTCGCAATCCGACTTCGCAATCTCAACACCATCTAGCTCGTATCTTGTAACTCTATCATTACCTAACCTCAGAACTTTACATTTATCGGCATTAAACTGCATCTGCCAATCCTTTGACCATTTCAAAACCCTATCTAGATCAACTTGAAGTGATAGCGAGTCCTCCTCCGAATTAATTTTCCTACCGATTTTCGTATCATCGGCAAATTTGCAAATGTTGCTACTCAAACCTGAATCTAAATCATTTGTATATATTATAAACAGAGGTCCCAGGACAGAGACTTGAGGCACTGTCCTGATAGAGGTTTGCAAGTGGCTGAATGGACATAACAAGTGAGATATTAATAGGGTATTAAAAGTATCAACATAAGACAGAACACGAAACAATGGGTATAAATTGGGATAAGTTTAGATTTAGGAAAAACTTGGGTAAATACTGGTTCGGTAACAAGGCTGTTGATTTGTGGAACCAATTACGCGTTACATGTTGGAGGTGCGGTCCCTCCATTGTTTCAAGCGCGGGTTGGATAAGTATGAGTGGGATTGGGTGGTTATAGATAGGAGCTGCCTCGTATGGGCCAATAGGCCTTCTGCAGTTACCTTTGTTCTTATGTTCTTTCTTAATAATTGGTACCACATTAGCTACCTTCCATGACTCTGGCACTCTGCCTAACTCTATTGATTTATTAAATATGGTAGACAGTGGCTCGGAAAGCTCCTCTTTGCATTCTTTAAGCACCCTGGCAAACACTTCATCCGGCCCCTGGGGATTTCTTCATATGAAAGAGTTCTAATTTGGGGAATTAACTTAGTCATCCTACGCTGGACACATTAAAGTGAATTTATAAGCATATGATGCACAGCATACCCAACATAAACCTGAATCCTTGCTTCGTGGCTGTTGACTTTTCCCTTTCATAATATATTCTAAACTTTCTTACAAACGTGACCTAACATAAGCCTACCCTTTCTTTTATCTTTTTTTTATCTTTTTCTGTAACGATCCGTTTCTTATTCCTATTATTTCCCTTCATTACATCTGACCTTCCGTACCTGTTGCCTTGGTTTTTCTTCCTCTACGATTTCCTCTCACCTCACTTTCCCTATATATACTGGTCTTCAGTACTAATCTAAATCACTTGACGGTGAAAGGACACGACCACGTTCTAGCTAAATCTAAAACAACGGTTTGTTTCAAAATGGCATCGGCAATGACTTCAAACACGGAACCAACCCACATCGCCTATTTCGACCTACCAGAAGACACAAAACGCTTCATAAGGAAACTGCAAGGTTTGCTTCAGGAAAAAGCCACGTTGCTGGACCATGTTCCAGCTGATCCCGAACACGCGCACTTTACCCTCGGATATTTTATATTAGATCGAAGTAAGGAGTTGGGACGGTGTTAGTAAATAAGTAGTGTAGATCAGGGTTAGCAGAATTGGTCAGTGGGAGTTTAAAGTCATTCACAGATCAACAGATTGTTATCCAAACTAAGCTGCTTGTGGTGAAAGAAGCCACGTTAGGTTCTTGAATTTTTATATATTGTATATAATGAACTCGCAAGAGTGATTTATCTGCGCTAAAATGTGGAGAGACTGCAATGAGATTGAACCCCTAGATACGTACTATCAGACTATGACTAACCATGACTAAAGAAATATCTCTAGTATGGTTACTTGAAGTTTGGAAGGTACCAACATTAGCGACAGTATACATGTATTGGTAATTGTTTTTAAAATTATTTGTGTGGAATTTGCGTATATACATAGCAGGTTAAATATTAAATTATAACATTCTTATTTTGTAATTTCAGATAAATGGAGGAAGGTACATAAGCATGACCAGGATGTTCTGTACATCATTAATCAATTAATTCAGAAATTTATGGTAAGTACAACAACCTCTTACTTGTTAAATTGATCAGTAAATGCAAACTAAACCGCCATAATTGAGGAAAGATGTTAGATTAATCCTCGAATTGAGGATACGGTTCGATTAATCCTCGTCCATTTCGTAGCACTTAATGTCTCCCACAATCGGTCAAAATTTAGCTTCATTGCACTTAACCCCCATTAAAAACGTATCCCACTTGTATTATGGTATGCGGTAATTAGTTCTGCACAATTTCAACCATATTACGGAACGAATATTATCTCATTGCACCCAGAAATCACAATAGCGTGATGCATCAGATGAACAAATCCAGGAGGGTTCGAACCTACGTCCGGGATGATCCCAAACGCGCCTTCTCCCTGTGTAGATGCTGTGGGAGCCTTGTGAGGGCAGTTACACTCAAAATTGCCTTTTTTTTTTTTTTTTTTTTGTTACCATGTCGTGGCGCAGTTGAATAAGGCGCGTCTGGGGCCATCTCGAGCGTAGGTTATTCACGGCCCTTGTGGATTTGTTCATATTAATTCATTCTTCGCCTTTCTAGATAATGTAAGTTTTTAAGCTTTAAATAATAGTTCTTATATATATACTTACTATTCGTCCATATTAACGTGCTCTCTTTCCTCAGGAAAAAAAAAAGCTGAGCGTCGTCTTTGATGGTCTAGGAAATTTTGACACAAGTGTCATCTTCCTAAAGATTAAAGTGTCCCACAATCTCTCAGATCTGCGGCGTAAGATTATTGACCTGCTGGGCAAGCAAGGTCTACTCCTACACAAGTACAGTTTTCAACCCCACGTCACATTATTCAAGCGACGGTGGGTGACTGAGAATGAACTGGCTCATTACAGGACACCCAAAGTTCAAACACAACATAGAATAATCATGGAAGATCTAATACAATCTGTAAATATTTCCAGCCAACCGAAAATCCCCATTCCAAGGGTGGGGTTCAAGGAGTATATCCTTAAGTATGCTCCGCAATCGACAAACGTGCCCATGTCCCAGCCACCCTTGGAAAATACCACGACCTTGTACTCGTATGTTGAGGCTGAGATGACTGAACCTGGAACACACACACACGGACAAACGGCATTCAGAAGGGAGAGGAAAAGTTTGAGAAGGCGACAAAGTTTGTTAGTTTCTCAAACGACTGAAACGCCTGAAACAACCAAAACAAACAGCCAAGGAGGACAGCTAAGACGACGCCAGAGCTACGCATAATTATAAATTAAAATTATTAAAATACAAAATTATAAATTAAAATTTTTTAAATTATATGTAACTGAATTTGTCTTCATTCAGGATTTTTATAAACATGATATAATATGATTTATGATTTAAATATAATATGATTTATGATTAACATATGATTTATAAAATCATGTATTAGTGATGTTGACCAGACCACACCACACACTAGAAATTGAAGGGACGACGACGTTTCGGTCCGTCCTGGACCATTCTCAAGTCGATTGTGAGAGATTCCCAATCGACTTGAGAATGGTCCAGGACGGACCGAAACGTCGTCGTCCCTTCAATTTCTAGTGTGTGGTCTGGCCAACATACTTCAGCCACGTTATTGTGACTCATCGCCTGCCCATGTATTAGTGATATAAGATACAATATAAATTGTATATTTGAATATAAATAACATTAATAAATTTTATTGTATATATACCAGAAATCTTATTTTCCAATTGGGTGCAATAATTTTTACACAATAAAATCACCAAGATAGTAAGAGTGACTCTTCCCTTTATAATACATATTCATATATAGCTGGAACCTTTTACACTTATAACTTGACTACTTAAAACTCTTCTAATTATGTACTGCGAGGAGGATTTTTAGCTTTTAAGACTAACTACAAATGAATACTTAAATGTAGGTATTTTGAGGATTATTCTTAAAATATGAATTATGAGCTTAATATTGCTACCATAACTGAGAGGATTGAGTAACAACTATTTTCTTTGGCCTTTAAGTGAGATAAAAACTAACGCATCATATATTAAACAAATCAATATATTCAGTTCTGATTCGAATAAAACGGCCCAATTTTATAACGATTAGTTCTCACATGAACGGCAGTGTGCGTGCGGGGCCATATCGGTTTGAGTGGCCGGCCAAACCGTCACGTTCTTTTGGCCGGGACCCGCGCTCTCGCCATGCGGGAGCCTCAGGGATCATATACCACTGTACGTTTTCATGCGGGCCAGCCCCGGACGTGTTTCAGGTGCAGCGTCCCGGGGCTGCGGGGTGTAGGCACGCGGAGTCAACCCCTGTTGGCCGCCCCGGACCCGTCTCCTGGTGCTATGTGTGTTGATTCCCTGCCGTCTGTTGCCCCAGTGTCGGATCCTGCAGGTCTCCTGGGTGGTGGTGTGGGGGTTGGTGCAGCTCGGCCCACGCCGTCGGCTTTCCCGTCTCAGCCGCCCCTGCCTGCTACGTCCCTGAATAGTCTCCTGTCGCTCTGGCTGTCCACGAGGAGCTGTCTCCTGCCGTGTGTGGCCCCCCCGGTTGTGGAAGCTGCGGTTCTCAGGGGTAAAGCGTGCCCGCCATAGTGTTCTGTTGTGGTGCAGGAAGATGGGAGTGATAGCTCGGACGACCGTCTCAAAGCTATCGAGGCGGGCTAGGAGTGTCTCTCCTCCCCGATGTGCCTACGCCATAGGCGGTGGACGTCTGTACCAGGAAGGTGTTAATGTGTGCCGACAGCTGTAGTATACAGAGCATGTATCTCTTGGCCCTGTAGCCACTATATCGTCTGGCTTCACTTTATATGCAGTAAATAATCCCCGCACAATGCACACGAAATAACCATGAAATTGGTATTTGGTTGGCTTGATGTTATTAATTCGATTGTAATTATTGTCTAAATCTCTCTTCAATATCTATCGATAGAGGGTATACCCACTAAGTGTTTAATGTACAAAAAAACACTATCGAGCTATAACACACAACAAAGAAAATATATTTATATATTTTAAGACAAATATAAAACACATTCGCCTCTATGCTGCAACACGACGACAATTACAGAAAACGTTTTTTGAAAATTAAAATTGTTTTCATTGTGAGAAAAAAAAGCTATTGTTCAAGTTGCCGCTGACCCCCATTCCCCCCACCCCCCCCTCCTCCTCCTTCCCATTCATACTTTCCCTCCCTTTTGCCCCCCCCCCCTCTCTCTCTCTCTCTCTCCCTTCCCCGTACAATCACATCCCATCCCTCCTACTTCCCCTCATCGAGAACATTTATCCCCTCAACAACCCCATTCAACTCGTCCCATCACCTCATGAATCCCATTTTTAGCAGAATCGCGGCCAAGAAAGCAATATTGAAGTAGTAGCACTAAAATATACATGTAGTTTCAATATCACTAGTTAGTAACCTCAGATGCGTTGTTTCGTAGCCTTATTTGGGAGATTTAGTTAGTAGGTTTAACTAATAACGGGATTGATAGCTTTGATATTTTGTAACTGATCAATTACAAGGTGGGTCAAGAACCATATCCCAGATAACCGGCTGCCCAGGCGAAAGACGGTGGTTAAAGCCAGTCAGATTGGTGAGAAAACAGATCCGTGGCGATTCGTAGTCCTCATGGAGAAGTGGTAACACACTTGCTTGGCATATCGCGAGCGCTTTGACCTTGGTTCGTATCCTGGCCAGGGGAGAATTTACTGGGCGCCAATCCTTAACTGTAGCCTTTGTTCATCCAGTAGTGTACAGGTACCTACAGTCCGAGTGAGAATGGTCCGGGACGGACCGAAACGTCGTCGTCCCTTCACTTTCTAGTGTGTGGTTTGGTCAACATATTTCAGCCACGTTATTGTGACTCCTCGTCTCCATATGGGTACCGAGTTGTTAAACTATATAACGGGTCGTATTTCGGGGAAAATTAAGATTAAGGACTTGCCCGAAACGCTACACGTGCTAGTGGCTGTAAAATAATGTAACAACTCATGTATATATATAAAAGATAAAAGGGAGAGAGAGACAGAGACAGTCAGAACAAGCAGTGAAGGAGTATCTAAAATCAATGCTTGCACCTGGTCTCCTCCCACTTGAGTGAATGGGTCTCCGGCGGCTCCAGAAATCACTCGTCAGCACATTCTCCTTTTAGATAAAATACAGAGAAACATATTTACCTTTTTGTTGCTAAAGCAAAACACAAAAATTGTGTTTTGTGCATACAAGCACAGATAAGAACACAGACTCGCCCACTCGGACTAAAAGTGCGCAAAAAAAGCACTTATAACATTCAACGACCAACGTGGCAAGTGATGTGTTGCATGAAATGCAAGATGAGTGCTGGGGCAGGAGGCCGGATATAAGGTAATGAAAATGGGTGCTGGGACAGGTGGCCGGATATAAGGTAATGAAAATGGGTGCTGGGGCAGGAGGCCAGATATAAGGTAATGAAAATGGGTGCTGGGGCAGGAGGCCGCATATAAGGTAATGAAAATGGGTGCTGGGGCAGGAGGCCGGATATAAGGTAATGAAAATGGGTGCTGGGGCAGGAGGCCGCATATGAAAAGGTAATGAAAATGGGTGCTGGGGCAGGAGGCCAGATATAAGGTAATGAAAATGGGTGCTGAGTGACTTGACATTTTCCAGAATACAACCCACAACAGTCGCCTGACTCCCGTGTATTCACTACGAGGGGGGGGGGGGAGCAGAAGCATTGGGTTAAGGAAACGTGCCCAAAACGATTTTGTTTTCCATAAAACCTCACCAATATACAGAACAACAACAGATCGTCGTATCCACAGGAACCAAAGTATTTGTGATTCAACCGTTCACATTTTAGTTTTACCAAACATGGAAAATCTTCTAGGGTCTATGGCCTGAAGAGACTATAGGGGTAGTCTAGGGTTATAGGGACCCCATCCTTCCGGTATCGGGCAGCCATGTTTACCTTTTATTTTCCGGTATCGGGCAGCCGGGGCGCATCCGATCCCACGATCGTCGTCGCCTCTATATCAACACAACAACAACAACAATCTTATAGATTCGCAAAGCAAAAAATACAGAAAGGTTCTTCCGTAAAAGTAATAGGCTATAGAAATCATCGAACTGCAAATGAATTAACCGAGAACGAGAGAAAGGCCGATAATTGTGTCTCAAAATTGCAGTGCTCACTCAGTAAAGCTCAGGGATGAAAGCTAACCCTCAATTTGATTTGCATTTATATTACACGTAATGCTCTGCATGCAGCCATACCCCCCCTCACTATGGGGGGAAACTATACCCTTCCAGCAAGACAAAGACAATTTAATTAATGCTCTCAAAAGATTACATTTGACTTTCAGATGCAAAGAGCATATGGGGGGGGGGATGGGATTTCAAAGATAATACATATCGTTTCTTAGACACGTGTTGTAATGGAATTACCTCATTCTTTTACGGTTGATCGATTTATCAGTCTGTCTGTCTCTACGTTTTTGTTTCTATTTAGAAGGGGCTTTTTTCACACATATCAAAGAAAAGACTAAGGAGAAGCCTAGGATAAAAAAAGGATAGGGAATTATGATGACCAAGAAATTTGTGGTATTTTAACTAAGTAATTTATATTTACTACAGCAGACGACATACCTACTGTATAAAAGTGACACGCTGACTAGTTTAGTGGTTACCAAGGAGGAAGATATTAAATAGAAAA